CTGCTTTGCCATTTGGTTTTACTTGTTTTAAATTGACATATATTAAATGCAAAAAAGTTAAATGTATAATATGTACAGTGAGGAAATATTTGCAAATATCTGCTATAAACCCAGGATAAAATAATATAAATAGCATGTTAACAAATGTACAAAATATTCTAAATGTAAAAGCTACAATTCCCGTTTTTTACAATCATTATAGTCCTCTTTCCGCCCCCCCCAGTATGGATAAGACACTTTAGAAGGATGAAGCTTTCCAGGTATTAGGCAGTCTTGTTTCAAGTGCATGACCTAGGATTCTATTAATGACCAGTTCTGACCCCTACACCTCCCCATAGACTCCTAGAGATAATGAGAAGAGCAGGGAATTATTGATCTAAACTAATGTGGCATCCTTGTGGATCCTGAGTTTCTGTGTTAAACAAAATCAATCAATGCCAACTGAAGAGCACGTTAATCATAATGTATGAACAAATTATACCAACTAAGATTCTATAGAAAATAGTATTGTTACAATGCTCACAAAAAAATAACACTTTATTAAATCTTTAAAAAAGTAAAAATTAAAAAAAAAAAAAGAAAAAAGAAGACTTTGATTCACAACATAAATTATCTGAGCATTTTGAATTCAATTACCTGAGCTCCAGCTACACCAAATTTAGGAATTTTGGATACCAGGATCAATGTCCTGGGATTTCTTATAGCACTTTGTGGACATAAAAGTAGCCAGAACTCAAACCCAGAGCAGAATCTCTAATCACAGAATTCAGGTAAGCAATTAAAAGATTGCCATCCTGATTTTCTCAAGCAACTAAACCACTTCTCTCATACCATCTTTCTTCTCATCAACTGTTTCTATTTTCTGGAGAAAATTGTTGTTTATTTTTGAGCTATAAATATATATTGGACAGAATTATTGGAATCTATTAAACACTTAAATGATTATCCCACTCTTCTCAGGTTAATATACTTGTATTCTATGAAACGCTTTGGCATAGCAAATTTTATTTTTAGACAGATAAACTTCTTGTGAAAGAACGCAAACCATGGATGCATGTGTACACAAACTGTTATCAAAGACTTTTTGTAACTTGCTTTAAAACAAGTTTAAATTAGCGAAGGTACTGGACAAAAATAGAGAATAATTGCTATCTTTCAATCTCTCACAGGCTCCAGCTTGAAAAAACTGATGAAGCTTGACTGACACACAGGGAAATCACTCTGGTGATAAACCAGATGCTATATTGAAATAGAGTATCTTATCAAAGTAATGCAACTGAGGTCATTGCTATGGAATTTGATCTCAAAAAAGGGACTAGGGAATACTAGTTGTAAATAATATAACTAAAAGTGCAGGCAAACTACTGTCATGATATCACAAAACCTACATTCATGAATAAAAATTACATCACAACCAAACATACCAAATATACATTATGACTCTGTAGGTCTAGGAATGAAGCAATCAACACTAAATCAAGCTTGAAATCAGGATGAATATTGATGCTATTTTTTCAGATTACATTAACCATCTCCCACACTTAAAGACTGCTAGAAAAAAACAAAGAGTAAATCAGCACTCTCCATCACAGGGAAACATTTCAAGAAAACCTCTGCTCTTCAAGGACCAAGCCCTAAACACTGCATTTTCATTTTTAAGAATTCCAATTTTATCTATCTGACATACACTATCTTGCATTTCTTAGGAAAACACCTTAGCAGCGGAAATCACAGTGGATTTTGGTAATCAACTCAGGACTTACTCTAAGAGCTACGTTGACAAGTGCAATCTCAGACAATGCTTGTGAGGTTTAAGAGCCCTTAAACTACTTACTCTTTTTGCTGCAATAATTGACACTTGCATTTCAGAGCTCCAGGAAATATACAGCATAACTGCATATATTCTAAGACACTTCTCTCCATTAAACAATGAACAAATGGTAGCCAGGTACAACATGATGCATTTTAAGGTTGTAAAATTACCAGCTTTCATACTGAATCTTCAAAACGCTCCCTTGACAGAAGCTGTAACACAATTGTTAGCTAATGTTTCTTGGTAGTAGGTTAGCAGGTCATGTTTACTGTGCCTGCTTCCTTCACAAATGACTTTGCATTAATTATTGAAGGTCTAAGGTCTAATTTTGCTACCTTTGCTTCAAAACTAATCTCATTAAAATCAAGACTGTATAAAGAATAAAACTAAAAGAACCAAATCTTTGGAAAGCAAACTGACATTAAAAAAAACCCAAAAAACAAAAACACTGCCCAATGAGATTGTTTTCTCTTTGATAGCAGAAATGAAAGCCCAAATAGCAATTACGTTCTTAACGTCAACTATAATATAAAGAAAATTTGCAAAAGCACTCTCTATGTCCCATTTAAGAAAGGTCAGAGAAGGATTTATTTATTTGTTTGGAAAATGGGATTTATAAGAAAAAAAATGAATGGGATGTCTGCCAGATGGAAGATTTCCATAGGTGAAAATACCCTTTCTTATTGGAAAAAAAAAATAAGAAAAAATTGGTGGTTGTATTCCTAAAACAACATCATTTGACAATATCAGAAACAAAATGAGCTTTTGTCAGACATAATTTTATGTAGATTTCATGTCCAGAAGAAAGCATTTAGTAGCTGTGTTTGAAACACTTTATTCTAGAAAAGAATAGAAACAGTACGGAAAAAAATCAGTGTGGGTTCTCTAAACCATGTACCTGGTAAATTCACAGATGGATATTTGTTACTCAGTGGCCACTTTATCTGCCAGCTTTATTTGCAAGCAGAAGATTAGAGACAAGATAAAGTACTCATTTATTCTTTCCAATATAACTGTGTTTATGGTATGCAAAACTGTGTTTTTTAACTTCATTCAGGAATAAACCCTATAGATCAAAGATTTGGCTTGTGCCTTCTTTTTAATTTGGGAACTTGATATACAGTTTTAGCTATCATTAACCTTTTTGAGCTTTGATCACAAAACCTCACTAACAGTGTCCATAAAGCAAAGTAGCATGTCCTGTGCATCTTGCAGTTCTCATTCTTAGCAAAGGGCTCGACATCCTAACTATAAACATTTCAAAAAATAATAAAGAACCGTGCTATTAAATCTTATTAGAACTATGTAGAAAAGCTTTAAAAAATGAATGATAATACATGGACACATAAGTTAATGGGAAGCTCTATTTTCAACTGATGAACTTCCCACTTATTTTTCAAGAGTGGAATACTACATAAAGAATGCTTTCTGATTACACAATACCTAACCATTGATCCTGTCATCCAGTTCTCTGTTTTCACAAAATGATGATCAAGCACATTGAAAGCAAAAGCTGAATTTGAAATAGCCCTTCTTCATGAGTTCCCAATAAAATAAATAAAAATATTTTCAAATGTTAAATGACCTCAAACCTTCCATACTTGGAAACCAAGATAATATAGCAATTGGAGGATGAGGTGTAGTCATGTCTTCTTACTGACACGTACATTCTGGCTATCTTAAGTGTCATCACCACAGGTTTCTTAAGGCAAGGCAGGGAAACCGTGAGTACCATAGTGCTACATCTGATTTATCTTATGCATTTGGGATAAGATAAATTACTCCGAGAAGGTACCTTTTGCTCTCCATTGGGTTTAAGAAAAACTGGAGTTACTAGGTTAGACAACTAACTTTGGATACCCAAGATACAGCAAATGGATCTCACCACAGTCCATAACTGACTCAGGAAAAATTATATTTAGCTCCCATCAGATGATGCAAAACTCCTATTTTCCCTTAGAACTTTGCTGTTTTAAAATAAGAAACATATGTTGATTTTTTTTAATTGCTAACAAGTATTTTTGCTAAAGTTACAGCTATAAATGACACAACAAAATCATTCCTTTCTTAAGCAATTAAGTCTTATGATCTTACAATAAAACAAGAAAGAAAAGAATTACTGGATATAGTATCACATTACGAAAGAGACAGCTAAGAAACTGTATTACAGAGTACCAAAAACAGTGAAAGGAAAATGCAAAAATAGAATGTGCATGATGTTCTATATTTAACTTTGTGGGTAGGCTCTGAAATCTCCTTTGAGCTGTCTTCTTTGATAATGACTGGTAAGACTAAATTCCGAGGCAACAGTAGGGTGTTCTCAGCAATATTTTTATTTGAGGACTCAAACCAGTCAGTATTCAAAGGCAATCTGTGAATTTATTACAGTTCTATACATAAGCATCTTTTTACTTTTGTTAGCTGAGCCTAGATCAAAACATAACATTTCGCATCAACTATTTTCAATAGGTCTTCAATTTTACTTTTAATATGAACGCTTGCTAAGAGCGCTGCACTGGCAGACCTGTCTTGAAGATTGTCCCATTGTTAACATCTTATTTAGCTGTAACGCAGAAATTAATTTGTCTTAAAAAATCATTTCAAAGTGAAGCATTTTCATACCTCCCTGTATGTCAGCAGTTTTCCAGCTGTGTGCTATCACTGCATCTGCAGTGAATCATACAGAATCCTCATTTTAAGGAAAGAAGGAATGCTGCACATGTGAGGTATATTCAGATACATTATTCCAACTATAGTATCAGTGTTTTCTTCAACAACATTAAGTATCACACAGGAGCAGTCACATTAGCTTCTCAGTGGCATAAAACCTCTAAGGCTCTTTTGCAGTGTTTTTTTAATGTTATAAGGAATAAAAAGTAGGGGAAAAAAGAATGCCATTCCACTGCTGATGCTGTCATCACATGCAAAATACAACAGCATCATGCCCTTAACATTCAACTGCATATCAAGCTAAAACAAAAGTGAAAATTCCAATTAAAAAAATGTAACTGAAATATCTATACTATTAGCCAGTAATACCCTTTTGAGGAATTTCAATGGTATTGCCATTGTTAGTTGGGACACATGAAAATTTCTTCTATCAAGCTTTTATTTTTTTATGAGACACTACCAGTTTACACCACTCTTGTATTGGCAGAAACTGATTGAATAGATCTTTGTTTCTTACCATCAACACAGGCTGGCCTTGCTCTTGTTGTACCGGCAATCTGTCCTTTTTTACATGCACAGCGAGCTGTTTGTCGGGCTATAGTCCTTCGGGGCTGACTGCTATCTCTGTCCAAAGTAACAATCTCACATGTACCTGCAGCCAGTTGACCTGGAAAAAGAACCAGCAACAGGTACCAGAGTCACTGAATGCACTACAGGCAATCTATTACAGCCGAATAGAGTCATGGCCCTATGTCACAGCAGACACTCCACAACAAATGGGCAGCCAGCTGATGGATATAATAAAACCGAGATGACATACAATTTTTCTTTGTGGTGGACATATGAAAACCCTGCAAACTGGTTCTGTCAGAAAATGATTATTGTTCCATAAAAGCCAGAGAGCTGAGGTCACACAGGTTGCTTTTACTTATGTCGGCTAAGTAAGGGATCAATCTGCTTTCACAGTAATGCAATTTAAATGGTATGCTCTACATACTTTCAGAAAAGAAATGATAAAGTATATGGAAAACAAAAAAAAAAACCTCCATGTGTCCATAAATATAATGAAGTCTTAACTGCTTTGTGTGTTGTTTTTGAAACAAAAAGTCTTTCAAAGTACGCCCGTGTTTGACCAGACTGTCAGCCCTTTGGCTCTTGCCTCATTTAAACTGAATGGCAATTCAGTCTCCACCTGACTCATATCTGAAGTAGTTGGTCTTTTGTCTTTTACCAAATTTACTACGTAACCATCCTGCAAATGACAGTAAAATGGCACTGCCCTGCTAGCTCAGTACCATTGTTTGCTTTTTATTGACTTCTCCAACATATGTGGCTTTCCCTGAATACTAAGGAAATCCACACCACCTAATTCTGAACTGTGACCGTGCTCAGAGGGGCAAAACAAAAAAAAATATTTTATGAGGAATATTAGTCTGAAATAAATGTTACACATTTAAAATGATTCAATTCCTCTGGTACAACCAATAGTGGGCTACCGGTATACCAAAATACTACCTTTTTCAAGCAAGAGAGATACATCATTGAATTTCAATGTGTAGTAAGACGCAAAAAAAATCCCATCTATCACTTTGTATAACATATCATTTCTGGATTTTATGGTACAGTTGTAAATATAATTTCTATTGGATTTTGTCTTTGTAGACAATCAATTGGAAAACTTCAAATGAATAGGTGCAAAAATATATCTTCAAATCACAAGCTTACTATATTTTGTTTTCATAAAAAAATAAGATTGGACCAAATGCAGTATTGTATTTATAAAAAAGGTCATGCAGTTTAAATGATATTTACAGTAAATTATTTTTACACTGTTGAAATATTGAAAAAGAACAAGAAAAAAGGAGAAATTTTAAATCTATTTTAACATCAAAATTAAGAAAAAAACCAAACCAAACCAAAACACACACACACGAAAACCCCCAAAACATAAATGAATGGCATTTAATTTAACTCTAAAAGTGTAATGATATTTCCGTATACTGTGTTTTTTTCCATCAGAATACAAGTTTACCCAATATATTCTTCCAAGAACCAGCTTTCAATGCTTCCGAGTGTGCATATACTGTTTTGAAACTGTCAGAATAGCAAAATATTGTAGGCTGTCAACAGCATTGTGACTGGTTCACTGCCAAACAACCTAAATTTTATCTTGCTGTGACTCCTACACTGCAGTGAATTACAACATGGTAAAACAGGATCTTGAAGATGAATATGCAACAAGGTATCCTACAACTTCATGCAAATATATGACATATATATAAGTAATACACATTAGGCATTTATAAATACAGATATGATATCCATGATAGTGAACACTATCACCATAGTGCTTCATGGCTGCTGGCAACTAGACTTATGAGCTACAGTCAGTCCTGGGTTTCTACTCTTTTCCACTCACTCTATTAACAAAAAACATCTTAGGACAAACATACTGATGAGAGGATTTTTACTTTATTATATGCTGATTTTTATTTTGTTTTCTCTGAAATCTTGGATTACAAAGCATAGGTTTAGCAAGAAAGAGTGGCACGTGATTTTCCAGATAAGGACAAGGGAAATCCAGCTACACTAAAACATGTTGAACTGAAAAAAAACCCCACATTCTTTTTTTCCCCCATCACTAATATATTTCATTCTGGGTTGCAGGAGATGTATTGCTCCCAAGGAATACAGCTGTCTTAGTAGATCATGTAAAAAAGACATAATCAGAGGTGTATTTAGATCTTGACCCCTTAGGCATTTGAACATCATGATTACGGTCCTGCATTGAGAATAGAAATTGAATGGAAACCAAAGAAAAAGTGGAAGCATAAATATGATATGTGTAAGTGTTCCTGAGAGCATGGGTTGCCGTATTCTCCACTATCCGTAAGTCCTTATGCTATTGTTACTTTCATTAAATATATGGTAAATCATATAATCTAGGTGGATCATTATATAAAACCCCCATTTCAGAGGAAAAGAACCAGTTTTACAGCACAGGGAAGGTGAATAAGGACTATATTCAGAGAAAAAAGAACAATGAAGCTTTATGTCAAGATAATTTGTGAAACAAAAAGCTTTCCAGGGTATGCAAGCACTGACTATCGACAAAAACACCTATAGATAATATTTTCTGCTTTTGGACCTGTCCAGTTTTAGTTCTGCATAGGTTCCTTTTGAGCCAGCTGGATTATTTGGGGTTTTTTATGATTGTTTTCAGCTGTTTATTTTGTTTAGAGATGATGATTTCTTCCAGGCATAGTGACCTCGTTTTTTTGATGAATTTAAAAAACTGGGATAACTAAATGAGAGCAATTGCTATACAAAGATAAAGTCACACTAAGGAATTTCGTGCAGCTATTAAAAATAAGGGAAAATTGGAAAGATTTTTGAAACATTTCATAGATTATTTTTTTAAAGATCATTTCTTTGTTGCCATTCTTGTTTCCATAGCAGAAAAAAACTAAAAGTTATTGTAGAACTGCAGCAGTTCTTCCCACATATATGAATAAATACTTCCTTGCGTCACAGGGTACAAAGATTGCAAGTGTACTGAGCACTGCAACATAGTGTACATCCAGTGTTACTTGGTTTTAGATGGCTGTAAAGTATGAGAAGTATTAGTTAAGGTTATGGAGGCCCACGTCCAGAGAGAGACTCATCCTGTTGTAAAGCATGTCCTCTCTGTCTCTCATGAAGTAGAGGGTAAGTCTACAGGAGTACTTTACTCAGATTACATGTATGCTATTTTTGCTTTTTAACAGTTTAATCTAGAAACATAAGGTACAAAATGATGGCACAAAAGGAACATACTTTTTTTAAGTTCGAAGTATCAAGAATTAGGATACCTTTCATTTTCAGGGAAGTTGACATAGTGACCGCTTTCAAAGATATTAATGAAAAAAGGCCATTCATCTGGGAGCGTCTGAACACTCTACACTCCCAAGCACAGAGAAAAAAATCTCAAGGCAGCAACGAGTGGAGTTTCACTGGAGCATTTCCAGTCGAGAGATTAAGAGCCACAGTCTACGGAACAGTCAGAAAGCCTCCATATTTTCAGTAGATCGTATTTATGTACTTGCAGTATACAATGCAATTCACCTTCCAACCAGAATTAAATAATCTTGGGGGGGAAAAAAAAAAAGAAGGCAAGCATCAGCACAGAACTCTGATTCATTCTAGCCTTGCCTGAAAGTCTTTCTTCCAAGAAAAAATAAATATATTTTTTTATTATTTTATGGATCACAAATAAAGATTATTTCAGAGTTACCGTCATCCAGTTTTCCAAGTAAATGAGTGGGCATTTCTTTGCAGTTGTTATTGTTTTAATATTTATTATATATATATAAATACTTCATATTTTATATATATTTATCTTATAAGTTTATTTTAGTAATTAAGACATCACTGGATGTTATTTGATTTTTGTGTTGCCACCATCTGGTTACTAAACAGAAAAGGTTCAGGTTCTTTAATGCTCTACTATAATGTTGCACTACATTCTTAAAATGCCAATTGATATGTCCCCTCTCTCTCCCACCACAAGCACACATGCTTCTATATGGAATTCTTTCAGGAAAAAGGAAAACTCCAGGATTCTGAATTAAAAATTTAAGTCAAACTAAACCAAAACCAAAACGCCCCACAACCGTTAAAATTCCAAATACAACAGGATTAGGCTTTTGGCTTCTAGCTTGCACCCAAGGACTTGTATGCAGTAATTGCTGTACTCAGCACCTATCTTGCTATTTTCTCAATGAAGTCCCATTGTGATCACTTCTGACACTGCTCTTGGACTTTCACGGAAGTCTGCAGGAATCGGTGAGTTCAGGTACACATATTTAGCAAATGGTGCAGGAAATAGCTCAAGGTAAAACTATTATTTTTTTAAAAGTTCTTTAGTACTTACATTCTTGAGAGAAAAGAGTGTGTTTTTGAAAAGTGTAAAACTAAATGGCATTTTTTATGTGTATTACTAAGAGCCCTCTGTCAACTATATGTCATTGCAGAAAGGAGCATCAAGAAGGATTACAGAGCCCTGGGAACAGTGGTAAAGGACTCTGGAGTGCAGGCAGTTTTCTCATCAATCCTCCTGGTCAAAGGGAAGGGGTTTGAAAAGGCCAGTCGAATCTGTCGAGTCAAGAAATGGCTACAGGACTGGTGCCACAGCCAGGGGTTCGGCTACTTACACCTTGGGACACGCGTTAAGAAATAATGTTTACCGGGGGCTGATGGGGTCCATCTGACACAAAAGAGGAAGAGCATCTTTGGTCCAAGGCTTGTCAAGCTTGTGAAGAGGACTTTAAACTAGAGTTGCTGGGGGAGGGGAACCGCAATCCATTCCACTCCTACCAGTTTGATGCCAGTGCCAGCAATAGGTGCCCAGAGCCTGGAGAAGGGTAACAGGTCAGCAGGAGAGCACCTGGAGTGAAGCACAAAGGAATTCCACCCACTCCAGCCAGTAAGTCAGCTCCAACGGGGCCAAACTTAAACGCCTCTATAAAAACGCACATAGCATGGAGAGAAGTTAGAGATGAGTGCACGCCTGCAGCGGTACGATCTTATTAGCATCACAGAGACATGGTGGGATGGCTCCTATGACTGGAGTATTTGAATGGAAGGATACAGGCTTTTTAGGAAGGACAGGCAGGGGAGAGGAGGACG